GGGTTTGGGTTTGGGTTTGGGGTCTTCATTTTCACCTGAAGGTTGCTCCCATGGAGGCAGGGCTTAAAAGCCTGAATTTTGCCTGAAACTCTCAGACTGAAGAAGTCTCTTGGAGAAGAGACAAAACGTTTCATTAGAGAAGAACCCGTCCAGAAGACCTACACAATTTTTTTCTTTTTGGTAAAAAGTTTTGTTATATTTGTTTTATTATATAACTGATATTTTACAAGAGTAAGAGTTCTGAGGTTTTATCAGTACAAAAAGGGTTTGAAGAATTTAGAGCTGAATCGTTTCTTTAGAAAATACTGTGATTTAAAAAACGCGTATTCTGAATAAATGTTACAAAAGTGTTCATTTGAATAAAACTCAAATATTTACAAAATACACTGAATTTCAAATTCAGTGTATTTATACAAACCAGCATACAAACATGATTTGTAACCCGTAAAAAACATTTTGTGTGTAACTTTGGGTATTTGCAATTGTGTTCAAATGTACGCACAAGTTACAGTAAATTAGTACAAGCACAAATATAATTTACCCAAACATTAAAATTTCACACAATTTTTTTACTTTCAACCTCACAAATCTGATAATTACACATTCAAACAGGCTCCTAGGCATTAAAGTCATTAAATACGCACAGAAAAAAACTACATTTACATACAGATCAGGTTATGAGCACAAAACATTTTGAGACTGTTTTCATGCTGTCAAGAGCTCCCAGATTCAAGTGTAAATGATGCGTTTACATGCTGCTAAAAAGCTAGGACATTTGAACTTCCTTTGGAGCTTTGTATTAATTTCTTGAAAAAGTTCTTCCCTTTACTTGTGTCGAGTGGTAACGCAAGAAGTTCCAGGGCATGGTACTTGTTAAAAAAAAAGAAAAAGAAATCACAAAATCAAAACTGACCTGTCATTGTTTTTATCATACTGAAAAGTAGAACAAAGGGATGCTGAATTCTTCTTCTTTCTTTTTTTATTTTCTTAAACAAAAAAGTGAGATGTGTAAAATAGTATCAAACAAGTAGCCCTTCATGTTCGTCTGTACGCCTGAAGTAGCTCTCAGCCTCAAATGTTTCATGATTGCAGCTATAGTTGATGTTTAAGTTTTATCAACCAAATTTTCCATCAACTTTTAACATTTTAACAAAAACACGACGGTCTGCTAAAGAGAACATACCACTGGGCTTACCCAGTGAGTTGTTAGGAGACAAACAGAAAGGGTAATTAACTATTTCTGTCCTGCACTTTTACCGAGTTGGGGCATCAGGTCACTTTATTGACCAAAATTTATTCACTCTTTTGAATCAGACTCTCATTGACTGAAGTGTGAGGTTCGTTAGCCTGGTAAAAACCAGACCCTTGTCCTTCTTTTTGCTTCGTACGAGGGTCTGTACTCGCGGCTATAGAGAAGTGATTCTTGCTGGAGGCGTGGCCTCTGCTGAAGTTTAAAATGATTGGATCTGTTGGCCGCGACATATGTTGCTGTGAAGGAGGCTAAGCTAAGAAGCTAACCGGAAAATGTGTGTGCTGTAAACCAGTGGTTCCCAAACTTTTTATCTTCTGACCCACAAAGTATCCATGGCAAAAACTTGTGACCCCAAATATTACTGGTCTGAGTACATAAATTTTGTTAATAACCCTAAAAACAGGTTTTTGACAGCTTGTACACAAATATACACTCACCGGCCACTTTATTAGGTACACCATGCTAGTAACGGGTTGGACCCCRTTTTGCCTTCAGAACTGCCTCAATTCTTCGTGACATAGATTCAACAAG